TTGTTCCTCATCATCTTCGCCGCAATCGTAAACAGATCTGACAAGAATCAACTGATCCTCCAAGTATCTCTGAAGCAAACCCGTTTCTTCTTCTTCCTCTTGATCCGGTCCAAATCCGCCGCATCCGCATCCTTCCTCGCACCTCCGGAGCCTTAAATCGTCTTCTTCAGCGGCAGATTTAGCGAACCAAGGGTGACGACTACGGAGGCGGCTAAAGATCTCGGCGGCGCAAAGGATAGGGATTGAGGCGCAGAGAAGAGGGATAAGTAAAGGAGAGCAAAGGAGGAAGAAGACGAAGCGGCTCCGTCGCGTTCGAAGCCAATCGGTCAACATAACGACGGCGCGTGGTGAAATACGGAAGAATTCATTGCCGGATTTGACGGAGGAAGTCGTGCGCGCTTTACGAATGAGAGAGATCACAGAGCAGCAGCAACTTGTGCGCACATGACTTTGCTTTGACTTTTTATATACTTAGCCTTTTTGCTCTCTCCCTCCTCCTCATGCGACTTCTTTAAAATATGTTACATTTACTTTTATACTACTTTTTTTCCCCCCTAGTTCTTAGCATCGTGAGCCAAACAATTGGGTTTCAAATTGAAAGAATAAGGAAGACGATTTGCGGTCTAGATAAATCTCTTTGTCTTTAGCCAAACCTACGAAATTTATCTCTAAAGACAAAGAGATTATCTTTGCTACATTGCGAAGACTGGACCCTCTTCTGTGTATTTCGATACTTCGGCGCAACATGTCTCAAAAGATTGAACACTCCATTCCAAATTCTAAAGATGAAACCTTGTTCTGCATGCGAAGTGGAAACGCAGCATCTCTGATTCTTCAGTCCTAAAGTTCGTCGCGACCTTGCTGGTTAAGATTTGACTGTCCGGCCCACAGAAGGTCTTTGTGTCCGTGGGACGTCCTAAAATTGATCAAAAGGCTCTCTAGTTGTGAGGTGGATACTTCTGACTTGATTATCTTAAACAGCTAGTACCTTTTTTTTACTTATATGTTAAACACAAAAGAAATGCAGGTTAAGTTCACAAGAAGTAGTAGAAAACGTAACAAGTCATAGGAATGGTGTGGAACTCGTGATTAAGCTTTGCATTTGGGTTTGATATTTAGCTTGGATAGGTGCACTACATTGTCAAGGAATTAGAAGAAGAAAATAGGATTTAAAGTCTCAAAAAAACTCAATCTCCAGATGAAAAGAGGTTGATCCATCTACTTAAACACTTCCAATGTCCATCTAAACTAAATATCCTCCTCCTCCTCCGCTCTTTTTTTGCCAATATCTTAGTATCTCTCAGACACTAGTTACATAACCAACAACATTTCTGGATTTATCAGCTACGTTTATGACATTTCCCTTATGATCTTCAAGACCCTGATGACAAGTTTTAGTTTCATCATCCTTGCTTTGTTTAACCGGAACGAGAAAGTCCTGTTCATAAACATCAAGCGTCTGGTTACTAATCTCCCACAATTGACGCTTCGTCACATTGAACTCTCTCCACCACACTTTCTCTCCATCCCAAGGTAACTTCACCTTAACAAAACTCGACCCGAGAAATATCGCAGCCGCAGCGATCTGCCTCGCCTTAAACTGTAAACAGAGCGACGACCTTAAACCATCGTTAACGAAATTAAACGCAGCCTGAGACAATTTATTAGCATCCCTATCGACTTTAACCGATCTCTTAACCCAATCATAGACTAGATCATAAGGGTTTTCGATTTCCAGATCAAATCTCAACGTAGAGAGCACAAACTTCTCCCCTGTTAACACAGTCTGCTTCAACTTCTCATACTCTTGTCTCGACGGTTCCTTGTCGTTTAAAACCCTGTAACCGACCGCGATGACGTCACCGACAGATCTTGGTGACCCTTCAACTTTTCCGGCGATGAACATACAGATGATTGCGACTGTTCTTCCGTCGTTCTTAGCGAGTGATTGACGAGTGAAGAATCTTTGACAGAGTACTATCGAATACCATATCGATTTCTGGGGATTTTTTAGTCTCTGACCAAGTTCTTGGAGGAATGTAGTGTAAGACCAACGTTGGAAAGTTTCTTGCTTTAAGTCGATACCGTCGATTCTCGATGGAGAGTTTTGTTCGATCTCTTGTTTTGTCAAATACCAGCTTCTCTCTCCCATTGTCTTGTAATCAAAACCCTATATTCTCCCAATTTCGATTTGTGTTTTTTAGGAATTTGAATTTAGGGAAGTGAGAAGATTGATTTAATAACTGTACGATAGAGAATATCGGAGGATTTTAAACGAATCACTAACCCTAGTTGAGTCCGTAAAGCCTACAAAGGAGCGAAAGATGAGCAAACCTATCGAAATTCAAAAGCCTTTTTCACTGGTCCACTATTTGGGTCTTTTGTTTTGTTGTTTTGAATACTTTTCCTTTCTAAAGCAAATCCATCTCGAGTATTTCGGGTTTTTTTTTTTTCCTCGGAAAAAATAGATAAATTAAGTAGAATAACCAAAAAATATAGGATCAATTACAAAAATGCCATTTTTAAGTGCACATTTGTAAGAATGCCACTTAGAAGTGTCTATTTACAAAAATGCCACTAATTATATATTTATAAAGCCTATATCTTAAAATTCTAAACTCTAAAAAATGTTTTGACACCTAAAACCCCCTAAACACTCAAAACTAAACCCT